ATCTAAAGAAGCCCATCGCCCGCTCGAAATCCTCGTCACCGAGACATCCACTTGGTCTGAAGCAGGTAGGACAGCCGAGCCGTAAGCGTAGCCGTTAGTCGCGAGTGCGTTTGGCTTGAAAAAGGCAAAGACCGTAGAAGCCGCCATACTGAGAAGCAAAAGGGCGGGCTGAGCGGTTTCTTGACGTGTCGGTTGAGGGCTTAAGCGCTACCGAGGGGCTTTCGAAATGCCTAGCCTATTTCTCTACCTCTACCGCGATCGGGAAACCGACGTTTTGCCGTTGCTCTTCGACCACTTCGGGTCTTGGCACGTTTCAAAACCCACCATCCGCCATTATATCCAGTTGAGTACTCGACGATTTGCTGAAGACGAGCTATTCACACTGGTGAGTTTTGACCACCTCACTCTCCAGCGTATGTACCTGCATGTTGCACTAAAATGCCAACGCGATCCTACCCGATTCGACGGATACAGCGCCATCTCCGAAGCCTCGTTGATAGAAGGGCTTCAAAACAAAGAGCTGTATCGCCAAGATAGGGCGACAGCGACTCTCGATGACAGTTCCAGCGATTGCGACTTCTTGAAAACAGTTAAGCTCAGCACAGGTGTAATTTGGGGGAGTGACGCTGAGCGGACACAGTGCCGCCGTCGGTCATTTGTCTATCAGGCCAGGTACGGCAAGCCCGCTCTCTTTGTGACGCTCACCCCAACGTTGGCGACTCGTTTGTTTTGGCGCACTACACGGGCATCTCGTAAGTCGACACACTCTTCGACGCTAATCTGGCTCAACTACCCAGACGCTCAGCCCTCCACAGTGCAAGCCTACGCAATGATGTCGCGTCCCCTCGTTTGTTCATGAACAATATGAACGCTTTTATCGAGCATGTGCTCGGCATACCTCCTACGAAAATGAAGACCAAGGCTTTTGACGGACTCCTTGGTGGTGTCAAAGCTTACTTTGGTGTTGTGGAAACCCAGGGCGGCGGCACACTGCATGCTCACTTCCTCGTTTGGCTCACTGATGCGCCACCCAACACTGACGCGTTTAGTAAAGCCACAGCTGAACACGGCGACCAGTACTACCGTGACATCGCCGCCTATGTCGATAGCATTGTCATTACTTCATTGCCTCTTGACGTCGCAGTGAACTGTCAGTTTTGTGGACACTCGCTTGAAGGTTTGCTCGCACTGCCGATACCACGTGATGCGTACGAGAACACCAACGCGGGTCGAAGCAATGCTCAGGGAGAGCCACTGCTCGTTTAGTGACCTCAATGTGCCACCAAAATGAGCTCTCAGCACGTGCTTCGACGCATTATTCTCCAGCAACGACCTCCTACATGGCCGCCACCACTACGAACGTATTCTTCGGTGGAGCTCAAAACGGCCGTGCAAATGGAAATCAGTTGTCGAGGCAGTGTTGGTGCAGCAAAGGCTGCCGTCTTTCGTCGAGACATGATTTTAGCAACCAGAGACAACGTCGACGACACGTACGGAGAGCACTTGCGTAAACTGAATGCGGTGCCGTACCGCAGCGAATAGCGTGAAGACAACGCCTTCTGCGACGACAACGTAGCTCAAGCCATCATGATGTTGCCGCCCTCGGTCGACGACAAGCGCTGAACGCCAAACGCTACTGCGTTCGCGGTGTCAATGCTCGTGTTCATGCTGAACCTCCACTGGTGGTCGCACGTCGGAAGCTGCTTAAATAAGAGTCGCGTTTCCGCTCCAGGGCAATGTCGGTATCGGTTTCCACAAGCGCGAGTTGCTAGCACGGCCTGTACAAGTGCTGGTGTCGAGCTTGCGAGGCAGCCACCGTTCGAATACGTCAATGGCTACAATACTACCATGATGCTAGCATTTAAGTCGAATCACGATATCCAAGTGCTGGTCGGGTGGTTTGGAGGCGCTCCTGTGCATCTATTATGCCACCAAGTACGTCACCAAAATGCAAAACGTGGTTGATTCTGTCACGGCCGTGGCTTTAGCGGCATTTAAGCGTCGGGAGCTCCGAGAGCAGCAAAACCAGACATCACGGGTGGATCATTCGGCGATCGGACGTACTCGCGTTGCATCCATGGCTTTCGCGCTGACCAATCGACGCGAGATCGCGGGCCCCCTCGCGGCGTTGTATCTGTTGCGCGGATCATGCACATACATGAGCGCTTCATGTACATCTCTCCCTCTCTACGACGTTTTGCACGAGTTAATTCAGAACGGCACGCACTCATGCAACCTCGTCGAGCTTCAAGAGGCTGAGTCCAACGTCACGATTCGCGCTGCCTCCTTCCTCGACGACTATATCTTCCGCCCGTCCTCGCTAGACCGTATGAATCTTTACGAATTCGCCATGGCGTGTTTTCGCCGCAAGCAATCCAAGTCGGCAGCAACGCCCGATTTGTTTTTGCCCGGACATCCCCTTTTTAATACGCATTGCATTGGTCATCATCAAACTGAAGCGGTCCCGGTCATCACAGGTGTGCGAATGCCGTACGTAGACTCCAAAACACCCTCTGAGCTTGTTGTCAAACATGCCAAGTGTGCATTGGCACTATTCAAGCCATTTCGTGCCGTCCTGGATCTCGTCGGTGAACCGGCAAACGAAGCTGCATGGATTGGCGCATACGTCCAGTGGGAGCCTACGCGATCGAGCTTTGTTCGCGAAGTCATGGCGAACATGGATGATTACCACCACGCATCGCAGCTAGCGCAACAGGAGGATGAATCCGGTAGTAATGAACTAGAACGCGAAGCTGACAATGACGATACCGTTGGGACTCGAAACGATATTGATGGCACAATTGCCAACATACCATGTGATGATGAGGCTTCCGTAAACGACGGATCAATCGACGACTTTTGCCATGTTTTCTCTAAAGACGACGACGCGGCTATGGATACCGACGGAGGGAGTCTGCCAATCTACCCGGCTAGAGGAACTGACTCATTACGATCGAGTATAGTTCATCAAGAACTGCTGGACCCGACAGCAGAATGTACGGCTCGCACCGCCATTGATCT